TAATGACTATCAAGTAAGGTAAAGTAGGAGTTAGCAAGCTTATTCTGTAAAGATTAAATTAGTAAATATTTTAGGCTTTTTGGGAAATACTGTTGCAACTACTCATCTCTGCCAGTGGAGGGCAAAAGCAGCCACAGATAATATGTAGATGAATGAGAGTGGTATGTTCCAATAAAACTTTATTAACAAAAACAGGTGGTGGATCTGATTTAGCCTATGGCCTAAAGTCTGCCATTCTTTGCTATAAAGTATAGATTACAGTTTATTGATGACTTTGGGCAGTTTCTATAGGATGGTGGGGCAGTACAATAATTGTGGTAGAGGAGATAGGATGTAACAAGATTTTCTAAAGCTACACTGTAAATGGGGGAAAATGGAGGCCTCAGATGGCTTCCCCAGGATTGAGAGTGTTGCCAGTTGTTCAGGAAAACTAGCACTCTTATGGGGGAAGACTGCAACGTTGTTGGAAATATTTGCAAAATTTCTCCCCCTGTCTGCCTACATTTAAGATTCCTGTGAGCTGCTGCCAGAGCTTTAATTGACTTGTTCAGGCTTAATGAATATTTATTAAGAAAAATTTAAATCAACCATTTGCTACAAGATTGAAACTTAATGAAACCACTGCAGGGGCAATTTTGTCAAAGCTGCTGACATGGGGAGAGGATTATTTCCTAGGCTGTCATTACAGGTTCTTTTGTACTTTTATAGCTTATGCATCATGAGTTAATAAATAAGCAAATACCTCCTGCTCAGGGGATGGGCAGGCTGTCAAGAATGTGGACATTCTGAAGTTCTCAGCAGCTAGAGCAGGGGTGGGCAAACTTTTTGACTCGAGGGCCACAATGGGTTCTTAAACTGGACTGGAGGGCCAGAACAAAAGCATGGATGGAGTGTTTGTGTGAACTAATATAAATTCAAAGTAAACATCATTACGTAAAAGGGTACTGTCTTTTTTTTTTTTTAGTTTTATTCATTTCAAACGGGCTGGATCCAGCAGGCCGTAGTTTGCCAACGGCTGAGCTAGAGGCTTACAGGGGCTGGATATAACTCCTTAGTTGAAAAGGCTCACAGCTTTTGAAGCACAAAGAGAAATTCAGTTAAGCTCCAGGCTAAGGGGAAACCATAGATGATAAGGTAACAAACCGTGGCTCTTGCCCTCAGGGGGTTTTCAATCTTGCTGACAAGGTAGATGATGACTTGAAAGAATCTGAATCCATTCATGTCCAATGCTGTGCTCAGAGAAAGAACTATAAGAAATCCAAATGAAGACTCTCCCTCTGCCCCTTCCTAATACAATCAAATGGAGCCTAACTGAATTTAATTGGCAAGTTGCCCAAGTTTTTTGACAGTCATTGTCATTGTAACCAAACATCACCTGGACAAGTGCCCTATTGACAGAATGAGACCAAAGAAACATTCTCATTTTGTGCATAGGAGGAGCATGCTATTTGAAGGTCAAGGTCTTTTTGCAAATCTGGTTGGTGAGTCTGACTCTATGTGTAAACAAGATATATAGCCACCTATAGTCTAATTTAAGAAAGACTAAAAGTATCCCCTTTGCGTCTCCTTTCCTCTAAGGAGAAAAAACACACTAATCCCACCTAAACCTCAACTGTACTTCACCATCATCTACCACAGTACCTGAGATTAGCTTCTCCTTTGGGGTAAGGAAGTAGAGTTCCTGAAAAATATAAATCTATTATTTTGGAAGATCTGGGAACATATTTGGTATAGTAAGTCCTCACTTAATGCTGTTGATTGGTTCTATGATATTAAGCAAAACAATGTATAATGAAACCATAAGCTAATTGATATAAACAAGAGTTAAGTTTCACTCGGCCAGGGTGGCTCAGTGGTTGAGCATTGACCTATGAACCAGGAGGTCACAGTTCAATTCCCGGTCAAGGCACATGCCTCAGTTTTGGGCTCGATCCCCAGTCGGAGGTGTGCAGGAGGCAGCCAATCAATGATTCTCTCTCTTCATTGATATTTCTATCTCTCTCTTCCTCTCTCTTCCTCTCTGAAATCAATAAAAAGTATATTTTAAAAAAGAGTTAAGTTCCAACAGCATCTCAGTAATGTTAAATGAAACAACATTGAACAAAATAATGTTAATCAAAGACTTGCTGTACCTGAACTGACTTCATCAGGCACCATTAGAGTGATGGTCCATCAAGGGGATCATCACTCTAATCTAGTCATTGAATCTGCTCCCTAGATAATCAAGTTCTCTTCTGGTGGGACTGCCAGAAAAGCAGTTGAAGGAAAGCAGTTGGAGAGTTTTAAAGTGCAAGTCATTTACCAGCTAATGGACATTTCAGAGAACATTGAAAATGGCAGTAATATGCTGAAGCCCACAGGCCAAATCAACTACAGTGTGTTATATCAGCCTAATACTTCAGAATCTTCTAAGAATTTTCCTTTCCCGCATCAATTTGTCTTCCTCTCCAAGGTCTTGTGTTCCTTGTTCTCTTGCTCCCTAACTCCAGATATCGTTCTTCCTTTATCTCTTTAGCATCTCAACTCCACTCTTCTTTTCTTAGTTGCAAACTATCCCCTTTCCTTTTCTCCTATCATTATCCCCTGTTTTCTGTAGTGATCATAGTATAAATCTTCTTTATATTTAAACACTTGCTTTATTTATTGGATAAAACTATATTCCATGTTTAGTATCTACAAATCATATTAGATAATTAACCTTTGCTTCTTTCTCAGAAATAATTTAAAGTCAGTATATCCCTAAGTTCATTATTCTTCCCTCACTCTAGATCAGAGACCCTTGGTGGCATAAAGATTTTCCAATAGAACATTAGGTTATTGTCAGTAATTAAGACAGCAGTACAAAACTCGGCTAATTAACTAAGTACTAGTACATATGCTTTGTGATTATGTGGGAAAGGAATTAGAAGTGTTTTTGAGGTTTTATCAGTCCTAAGTTTGTGCACATTCATGAGAGATCATATCTGGAAATGGGAGGATTGGACCAAAGTTAGAGTCAAGACAAGTCTCTGAGGAGAGAGTCCCAAAGGGTGGAGGAGGCAGATAGTGGGAATGGAAGGCCCTGAAATCAAACTTTCTTCCTTTGCATATGAACCGAGGTCCTGCTTATTGCTGTTTGTAGACAACATCTCACTTTTAGTGATCCTGACAAACCTAATCTAAAGTTTGGTGGTGCCATTCCACTTAGGTGAAGGGGTCTGAGTCTGACTGCAGCTGCAGTTGGGGTGGGGTGAGGCATAATCCTTTGTGAAAATCATCAGTAAGGTGACTTACATTGGCAAAGCTTCTGGTGGGAAGGAAATTAGTGAATAATTACTTCTTGCCATCTGCATCCAAGCCAATTTTACACAAAGCACAGAAACAGAATTCTTTCTTTACAATTTTATTTACAAAATGTATTAAAACTTTGTACAATACCTCATGGCAATGAGGCTCCGTAATTTGTACCCATACATGCAATTTATGCTTTTACAGCCATTAGTTTGCTTGGCAATTTTTCTGTTCACTGAAGTACAGCTTTAACAACAAAAAGAAAAGACTTGGAAAAAAAATCCTCAAGTGACTACCGCCAAACTCCCATAGCTTGAAGTTAGTAGCAGAAATTTGAAGCAATCAATGTTTTTTTAAACATGCAAATTTTTAAAAAATAACAAACCAATTTACCCGCCTCTTCATTCCCAATTAAGTTTCTCTCTGAAAAACTGATTTGAATCAATAAACATACATTTCTTTTTATACAGTGCCTATTAAAACATTTGTGTGTAGGTAGGTTGGTTTGTTTTATGTTAACTTCATATTCGCACAGCATTAGCTTCCTGCGCTGGAACATTATAGCATTCAGAAGTTGAAAATTACAGTTTCATGAAAACAAAACAAAAACACAACAGCTTTCTTTTTTTTTCAATACCATTTAAAATTTGACAGATAAGTTATTCACTTATGACACACTTTTTTGGAATGAAAGTTTATATTACACTTTTCTAGAAACATTTTGTTGGAACGAGACTTCTTCCTTTCTTTTCTGAAGACAAGAGCAAATTTGCAGCAAGTCAACTAAGCATCTAAAGGTCACACTTGGGAAATAAATTCGAGCTCTTAGTTTTTACAGTCTGGAAACTTCCCAATGCATGTCACTGATGAGAGCAAACTATTGAACTACAGAAAGCATACGTCGTTATATAGGAGGTAATTAGTGAGCGACTATTTCCTCTGACTGTTCTGATGATGCCAATGGCAGGTACACAATTAGTGACTTGATAGCCCGCGGAGCAGCGGCGTGATCTTCTTAGAGAGTCAGTAGAGACACTGCTCCAAGCAAGGACCTGGGAGTGATGCTGAGGCCCTCAGTTTAGCAGTAGGTTTCGGAATGCATTTTATTCTTTGCAAACTAGAAAAGGACACATGCAGTCTGACGGAGAGCTGCAGGCTGTAACAGGCAACAGCTGGTAAGACAGACCTAGCAAGAGTAAAGTCAGATTGAGATCTGTGGTCTGAACCCACTGGCTTGCCTTGCAACGCAGTACTGTCTCCGTGATGTACACTTGAAAGGCATACTTAGCAGAGAAAGCAGAGCTAAACACAGTGTTGTTTCTGAGAAAGATATTCTAAACACATTTGGGAGTATAGGCAGCATTTCCCTTACCTCAATGCTAGATACTGAGCTATATTGACTTAAAATGCACACTGAAGCAAGAAAAACAGATCTGTGAGCTGAAATTCCAGGCTTCTTGAAAAGCCCTAGGGATTCGTTTTAGGGAAGCACCGAGAGGTATGCCTGATCGTGCCCCATCCCTAGCTACACACAAAAGTCAATTTCGAAAACTGTTAATCCCTTCACTGAGTGGGAAGTTATCAAAGCATGTTCACAAAACCATTTCAAGAACACAGAGAAGTAACTGTTGAGTCCCTTTTTTTGAAAGTGTTTGAATTTTCTTAAGTGTTGCATTTACAGTCTAAAGATATACACATTTCAGCAACGTTGAAAAGAAATAGTGTGCACAGAACTTCATCACCAACAGGAAATACCAAAAACATCTGGTCAGCAGATCCTAGAACAAATGCCAGTCTGTCTTCCCACACACAGGGAGTCAAAGAATTTTTATCAGGAGAAATTATTTTAGCTAAGATGGGCCTATTTGCTGAACTGGAATTTTAAATTTGTGTGTGTGTATTAAAGAACATGGTGTTTAAGTACTGTGCAGTGGTATCAAAGAATGGCTTTTGTTGAATTGACTTTTTTTTAGTAAGATTTTTTTTTCACATACTGGAATCTTGCATGTCCATTTTTTTTTGTTTTTTTTTTTAAATTTTTCTCAAGCAAAGCAAAAAGATTTCAATGATGGTTTGTATTGTTGCAAGTCTCAGAGTGTTCCATAAGGCACTGAAGGAAAAAAAAATCAGTTTTTCCTATTGAAAGGTCATTGCACCATCAGCAATATTCGTGTCATGCCCGACACCAAGGAGAGTGAAATCTGGCTCAGGATCCTTGAAGCAGCCACGTTTTCGGTGATTCCTCTCCTCACATGCCTCTAATGGGAAGGGATCTGAAAAGGCAAGGGGGAAATTTAAATTTGAATGGGCTTTTTTTAAAAATTGGAAATTGAGAAGTTTATTATGGCTCACTCTATCTTGGACAAGAACCACGGCTGTTTTCTCAAATTGGCATCTCTGGGGCTGCACCCAGTTTTACTGGTTTTAGGTAACATGTTAGTTTAAATTATTTTACCTTATGCAAATGTTTTCCAACAAGTTAAATTAAGTTCTTTCTCTGCTATGTATTGTACTAAGGAATATATAGGCATTGCATGAAGTCTAACTCAAGACGTTAATCACTTAGGATGTAGGTATACTAGAAAGTCTTAGTAGCATTTAAATATAGATATTCAGGATAACTGCATTTAGGAGTGTATTCTGATTGCAGAACCTGTGACCAAGGACTGTTTACCTGGTACAGAGGGTAAATAGTGTTCTGTGGCTTGCTCGATTGAAATCCATTTGCCTGTGAGAAGAAAATTTGCTGCTCATTGCCAGAAAGGTGACAGCTTATTTCTCTTAATACCTAAACCTTAGTTATTAAAGTCTGAAAATAGTACAGAGGCCTTAAAGAGAAAGCACATTTCAGGGAAAGGCCAGAACAGTGAAACCCATGAAGGGGGTTGGCATTCATGGGGTCTTTGCCCTGATATTGTGGGCATGATGGAGATGTTGATGCCACTCTCCTCTTGGAGCATTAACTAGTGCAGAGGATTCATTTGCCCCTGGTTCTGAAAACTTAAGGTCACTTTCTTGTCTACTCTTTAATCTCAAATTCCTCCTCTTTATCCTTTCCCTCTACACTAATGGACCCTTCTCCTCCTGAGCTAACAATGAATTCTATCCCAAAGGAATTGCATAAAATTTTCTACTACTGGCCCTGGAATAAAAGTAATAAGACTGACAAAGATGCACCTGAAGACCAAAAACCAGAGGGCAGAATAACACTAACATGAAAGTGTTAACAAGAAACCTTTTCTTTGGAATGCCCAGATTCCTGAGTCATATCTGTCTCAGAAACTTAGATAAATTTCACATCTATGGTAGAAAGATCCAAGTCCCCTCCTTGGTTCCCATTGACCATAGGTGCATAACTTTGGGAAAGTGACCTGATCTCTCAGTGCCTGTTTCCTGCTTTAAAATGGCAATAGATGACATTATCTCTGAGGTAAAAGTCCTTTGGGGACAAAGGACATCATTACTCCAGCTATTCCACCTAACATAGGATCAAGTCTGTAAGCAGGAAAATTTCCCCAGCAAGGATGTCTATGAGTAGGCTGCAAAAAGAAGATTGATGACTTTGAAAATGGCTACACGAACAAAGTTAATATTTTCTAGGAAGAATATCTTAGAGGAAAAATGGAAATCTTCCTTCACTTTAGCATCTTGAGGTCTTGAAAATGAGAAGGATTTAAAAAATATTTTTGAAGAAACCAAAGAAGCCAGAAGTAGTGCTGAACAGCAATGAAAAAAATTAGAAAATGTTTCTTAAAACAGTTAGCAGAATTAACCCTAGGGCACAGTGAATCTGGAACACTTGGCAGTTGGTCACCTGCCAAGCTATGCTTGGGGCCCACACTTCCAGTAGTAGGTCAGTAACCCAGAGATGCAACAGGTAGCCTCTTGACTACCTGCCGCTTAGTGGGTGCTGGATCTGGGGCTGAGGCACATGTTCCCATAAGGAGTTTAAGAATCCTGACTCTACTCTCACCCATAGAGGACTTCCTCCTCTTTCAAGGATGCCTTTTTATTAAGCAGATTTCACCTGGATCACATTTTTTGTAGGTGATTTGTCCTTAAGAATTTTTCCTGAAGAACTACAGGTACCATAAACTCCCAAGGCTGGCTGTGATAATTAGTAATAAAAGTTACACCTCAGGGTGCCTCTTCATTTCTGTGCCCCTGAGTAGACCCTGACATATCTAGGCCAACACATTGAACTGGAAGTCTAATAATTAGGCAACAAATTAGATATTCCAGAACTTCTTGGGAAATAAAGGATGAATGAATGAAGATCTCACTCTTCACTTAACCAACATTTCCCTAACATTACATCACCAAACTAGCCGAAGACAGCAGAGAGGTTTCTACTCTAGGCTCAACCTGCTTTGTGCCTCTTGACTGGCACATGTAAGGCTTTTTCCAGTATCCTCTGAAGCTTTTTTTTCTTTTTTCTTTTTCATCTGGAGACTTCACAGACTTGGGGGACAGATTTGTTTGCAGAGGCGTTTCCCAGGTTTGCTTTTCATCTGAGGGATGGTTGCCAAGGTGCTAGCTAACTGGGCTATAACCACATAGGCATCCATGCCAATTAAAATGTGATTTTTTCTTTAATTAGCCTAAGTTTTGCTTCACAAAATGGATCAACCAAGATGACTTAAAGGGAAGCCAGAGAACCAGAAGTTGTGTCAAGTTCATTTCTGTGGCTCTTTCCCCACATTTGATGGCCTGGTCTTTTGCTTTAGAACAGCAACATTCTGCCCAAAGGTTTACTGATCTCAGTTTCTTTTCTTTTCTTTTCTTTTCTTTTCTTTTCTTTTCTTTTCTTTTCTTTTCTTTTCTTTTCTTTTCTTTTCTTTTCTTTTCTTTTCTTTTCTTTTCTTTTCTTTTCTTTTCTTTCTTTTCTTTCTTTCTTTCTTTCTTTCTTTCTTTCTTTCTTTCTTTCTTTCTTCTTCCTTCTTCCTTCCTTCCTTCCTTCCTTCCTTCCTTCCTTCCTTCCTTCCTTCCTTCCTTCCTTCCATCCTCCCTTCCTCCCCTTCTCTCTCTCTCTCTCTCTCTCTCTCTCTCTCTCTCTCTCTCTCTCAATTCTATCTGTTTTCATTTTCTGTCTCTCTGTCCCTTCCTCCTTTCTTCCCTTCTTTCCTTAAGTTATACATTCTGAGATACTTTTCTCTAGCCCTGGACCAGCATCATCAACATGACCTGGGGGCTTGTGAGAAATGTAGACTCTTAGTCCCTATCCCAGACCTGCTGAATCAGGATTTGCACTTTTATAAGATCCCCAGGTGACTTACATGCCCACTGACATTTGAAAAGCACTGCTCTGAGGCTTTAACAAGGGACTGAAGTTATAGTAGTTGGGGAATAGGGACCTAGATTCTCAGATGGAATGGCTGATAATAAAGAGGGCTTGGAGGCTATGTGGCCCTGAGCCCTGATACCCTTGTTTCAAAAGATTCTTTCTGGGGAAAGTAGAAGTGAATATACAGCCTCATGTAGAGTCCATAAGTGGGTAATATGGAGGCTTGGTGAAGTCAGTCCCTCAAGACTTTTTATAAACAAGTGGGACATAAACTTGAGATCTGCTTTCTGTTTGGTAGGATCCTACTAGGATTTCAAGGTTCTTGGAAACTACCAGGCCTGGGGATTAGAGGTGGCATGGTTCAATAAAGAGAGGACTTGTATGCATGCATATAAGCCTAACCAATGGACACAGACAACAGGGGGGTGAGGGTATAAGTGGGGGGAGGGGTTGGGGGATAATGAGGGGATAAGGACACATATGTAATACCTTAATCAATAAAGAAATTAAAAAAAGAATATAGCTATAGGAGAAAGAAAGGCTGGGTTTTAGTTTCAGAACTGTCACTATCTAGTTGTGTTGATTTGAACAAGTCACGTGGCATGTCTGGGTCTTAGTTGCTTAAAAGGAAATATCTTTCTGATGATGCAATAAAGTTGAGAACTCTTGGAAAAATGCTATGCAGATTTTAGATGTATTTCTTTGGATGCCACTATCTCAGAATTTGGGATAACTAAACTAGGCCGAAATCACCCATGTACCATTCTATGAAAGAGCAAATAATATGCCCCAAATTGTAATGGGACTATATAACCTACTCAAAAATAAAATATTTTAAGCACATAACACATTAAATGCTTGCATGCAAACAGTGCTAATTACAGACAAATCCATGCATTGTACATTCAACAATGCAATGGGAACACTTTGTTAGTGGGTTAGTTCAGTGTACTTAATACATTGTAGCAAAAGTTTACAGTGTGCAGCAGAAAAGAACAACCAGCAACTTCATCAAACAAGATAATGTTTTCCATGGTGAAGACAAATGATTTATTTGGATGAAATGTTATTTAAAAATCAGCTGAATTTAGATTCACAATGTCAAATATAAGGAGATCAAAACACAAATAAATAAATTTGTAGAAATTCAAACACATTGACATTGACTCATGAGGTCAAAAATCTCCCATGTAAAATAAGGGCTATGAAGTTGCTAAATGTTCTGTTCCACTTCAGATAGGTCTGTTAGTGATGACAGATGCACTTGAAGGTAACAAGACTATATTATTTTAAAAACTTCCAGAATAAAGCATTATCCTAATTCAAGCTTGCCTTTGAACACATCTGAGTTATTGGTGATGGTGGTGGTGGGGTTGGCTATAGCTGCCAGAGTCAAAGTGGCATCAGTCAGGTTCATCTAAGTATGAATTTGGGGCAGCCAGCAGCAAGGATCCTAGATTGTTCTTTGGGAGATACTTACCTGAATATTAGTTCCAAGAAAGGGACAACAAAAGAACTCGAAGATTAAAAAAACTTTCTCATGCTTATACTTAAGAGAACACTGTTCCCCTATGGAAGCATTGCATTTCTCAAGGTGGAAGTGCCCCATTTTCACTCCTTATTTTAACATCAGTTCTGGAGCAGCTGATTTCTCTAGGGCTGCACTGTCCAATATGGTAGTCACTAGCCACATATGACTATTGAATATATACTTGATAATGTGGCTAGTACTAGTTGAGATGTGCCATGAGTATAAAATATGACCCAGATTTTAAGACTTAGTATGCAGAAAACAATGTAAAATATCTCCTTTATTTTTATAATTATGACATGTTGAAAATATACCTTGGATTAAATAAAATGTATCATTAAATTAATTTCACTTGTGTTACTTTTTAAACTGTGGCTACTAGAGCACTTGAAATTATGCAGTTCACATATGTGGCTGGAAAATATTTCTATTGAGCTGTGCTGCTCTAGAGAATTTTTTGCCTTTTGGGTCACATACCACAGTTTAATCACAACTATACTATTAGAAAAGCACTACGGTCTGACAAGAAAGCACAACCATTGTTTTCAAAGAATCAAGTGGTTGCAAAGAATAGACAATGCTTGAAACAAGAAAAAAAACTAAGAAACAAAAAATAAAAGAGATTAACATACAGCAACGTAAGGCTGATTAGTTTACTAGACCTTAACCGTACCCCTAGATCTTAACACTCTCTGTTCCATACACGTTGTAGCCTTCTCTGTATGTAGCATAATTTTGAGTGTTGGTGGCAGGAGCAGGCTTAAAGTTTTGGGTGTTCTTTGTAAGTTTCATGCGTTTGGACTCTGCCCGTGATTTGTAACAGAATTCTATCAAAGCCACCATCATGGCCAGCCCCAGACCTCCGACAAGTATATAGAAAACGCCTGCCACATTGCTCAGGCTCAGAGCGCTGGTCTTGTCCTAAGAGAAATGAACAATGTTATTAGTTCTTGGGGAAAAAAAAGGCAGTGGAACATTATAATATATTACAACAGTATAGGATAGTTCTAAGTTGTAAAATAACTAAACATTGATGTAAGTGTTATGACTCAACTCTGGCAATTGACTGATGTTTCACAATGGCAGCAAGATGATCAATTGTTTCTGTTGACAGTTGTGATCCTCACCTATATGTTCTTTTATTTTGACTCCTTAAATCCTCTAGTACTTCAAATAGTGTCAACAACTAAATAAAACAGCACTTGGTCATGGGAGCAAAACTGTAAACATAACCACAATTCATTCTTCTTCCAGTCTCAATAAACACCATTTGCCAGAGTTGAGCTGTGACATAATCTCTATAAATGTAACACTCTTTTCATTTGGGAACTTGAAGCACTCTTTCCCCTCTCTGCCCCGCAACACCCCTTTCTCCCTTGCTCTCCCTGTGATAAACTTGTCAACAACTAGTCTTTAAGATACCAGGTGAAACTATTAGACGTTCCTGATATTCTTATCTGGGGAGTTACTTCACAAGGGTTTGTTTAAAAAGGATTAACACTCCCCTTTCCTCTGGTGGTTGAGAAATTGCTCCCTTTGGGGACTGGTTGCTAAGTGTTCATCCTTAGGGCAGCAAGTCTTTGTGCTGCTGGAACAAGGGCACAGCACAAAGAATTGGCTCTAATCCATCTTCCTGAGAGTTTAAGGAAACTGTCAGGAGAACTTATTGGTCCTGAATTGGCTCCATACAAATCAGAAAGCTTTTCCAGGAGGCTGAGGATTTTTAAAAAATCCAGCTCATTTTTAACTTTTACTCCAGGAAAGTAGCAAATAATACTAAAAAAGACTACACTTATCTGCTTTCTATTCAAAATAGGGGAAAAATTGAGGAAGCCGGTCAGTGACTTTCAGGTCAAACTCTGCAAATCTGACTAAGCTATCTGCCTGTATGAAAAAGCAAAAACTGAACTGCTGAACCATGGAAAGAAAAAAGTTGGTGCCTTGAGCCCTACCTTGAGGTAGGACACACCAAGGGCCAGGAGCCTCTCTTGGAAACAAACAAAAAAAAATAGCATTTTGTAGTCTTTTTAGAGTGAATGTAACCATTTTGCTGCTGAATGCAATTGAATGGAATATCCAAATTGTTAAATCAGTGAATTGAGAATCTTATTCAAATGACAACATAGTGAGCAGACTATGGTCATTGCTGACACTCAATGCTCTGTGGCTCAGCTAGTCCTGGTACCATTTAAAGAATTAAATGTAGACAATATGGCCTTGTCCTGATTCTATTTTCATAGGAGCCAGTCCTATACTTGTTTACTTTACTAAAACTGCCAATTGGAATTGGATCACATGGTCAGGAAGAGGGTAAGTGTATGCTTCATGTCTAAACAACCTTCAAAATAGTCATTCTTCTAGGATGACTGACAGCTAGACAAGTGGCAACAATTTGTTACTTATGGAACAATGGATCATTTCTTTAAGGAAGCTGGTGAGGCTATCTTCAAATATGTTCCACAGTCCATTAGGAAATGAACCAATTTTTGGTAACCCTCCCTCTGCCATGAGACTTTTATATGTATGTGGTATTTGATGGGGGAAAAGTGTACTTTGACATAACCCATGTAAGTTGTAGCAACAAGAACAGTTTCAAGTTCCATGTATTTAAGTTTCACAGAATTCCCTGTTGTGGGATGTAGAAAACCAGTAGCAAAATGGTTCACTGCACAGGGAAAATGAGTGGCATTTCATGAAATGAATTAACTGATACCACAATATTAGTTCAAAAAAAAGGAAAGGCAAAAATCGAAACTAAAAAAAAAACTTTCTTAGGGGAACAAAGGGGGGCAGGAAGGAGGCAGGGAAGAGTGTTTCATGCTTATCAATGTGATGTTATCCTGACAATGTAAACTCTTAAGGATCATGCGACTGAATTTAAAAAAGTATTATGTACAGAGATTTAAATGACACCTTTGGAAGAGAGAAGTGTGACAGACTTAATGAGATTCGAGATCCAAATAGATGCTGAACTCAATACGACAGCAGCTGGGAGGAAGCTAATCATTCTGCTTACAGAGACCAGTCTTAGTGATTTATTTCTTTGACTGTTTTCAGATAGGATTGACATAATACATTAATAACCAAAGGTATTTACAACTACAAAGTCTCTGACACTGTAACAGGTTAAGACAAAGTACTGTCACAACTGGATTTTTTGTTGTTGTTGTTGTTATATTTTCTATTTGAACTTTGGAAATGTGAAATACAGTAAAACCCCCTTATAACACAGTTTCTTCTTTTATAGCTTTGGAAATGCAGTGGGCCAGATTGAATCCCCTAATTATAATAATAGCTCTCTAGAGTTAACGATTGATGTCACATGACAGGCCTCTGAGGCTGGTGTTTGCCTTATTCCTTTAATGCTGGTGTTATAAAGGGGTCCCACTGTGTCAGGGAGTGTGTGTTGGGAAGGAAAGCCTTTTTAGGGTAGAAAATAAACAGGGGTTCAAAATGTGATTGCTAATCAGTACAAAAAGACCTTCAGCGACTGACCTTACTCCCGGAGTCCTTGGCTCCACATTCCCCCTTATCGTACCACCATTTGTTTTTCAGCTTGTCTAAGATGCCTTGTTCACTGAGTTTCAATACTGCAAGGTTTACAGGCGTTCTTCACGTGGGAAATAACATAAATAACATTATATTATGTTATTTTATGTTATTCAAGCTTCAAACTACTTTAAAACTATAGAAAGCGATAAAGCAGGGGGCCCTGGCCACAGAGTAATTTTAGACACTACAGGCAACCTGAGCATTACCTTATAAAAAGTTAACACTACAGCAACGCTATATTTACCAGGGCCTGCCCATATCGCTTTGAGTAATCGGCACACACTGTTAAATAATGAGGATAGAAAAACAGGCACTCCTCAGATAGGCTGTGTGTGGTGAGGAGGGTCTCTCCTCAAGTGACAATCGTCGGCGGCAGCTTGCAGTAGTTTTGTGACGAGATGTATTAGGTTTGATCTAACCGGGTGTCTTGTTGTACTTCCAGACAGAAAGCAAGTTCTATGGAGCAGTGGGGAAGGGGACTGAGCCAGAATGGGCAGCATTTCCATATGTGAAAGGAGACAAAAGGATGAATCCAAACAGAAAAGAGAATAGATTCTTTGTGAATAATATGCCTTCTGATTGATTGTCCTTTATTACACAAATATGTTGCCCAGCCAAAAATGATCTTAGAAAGAACTGTATTCCATACATGTATTCACTCCACAAACTAAATTCTTATACACATCCTAATCTTAGTATTAAAAGTATAATGTGGACCTCTGTGTTTTGGATAAGAGGAATACTTTCAACAGTAGGAGAACTGGCCTATAGTTGTTTTTTAGTTACTGACTAGCTGTCTCTCTGAGATGCTCAATTCAGGCCGCCAGAGAGTGAACCAAAATGTTTTAAACTAGATTATTAATACGCATGACCTAAAATGCAAACTGCCTGCCACTGTGGGTAGCACTGTAGAGGAACAGCTTAGGTAAGCTGTTCTGGGAAGATAAGACTTCCTTAACTGAGAGGCTAATATATCTTCAGGAGGCCAGGCCACTGCTACCTAGTCCTCCACACCTTAAAGCATAAGAACTACAGTTGGAGCCACTGGGCAAAATGTAGGAAACCCTACTGGTCCCATGATAAAGATTTTCTCTCTTAAGAAATTTCTTCAGCTATAAAATGGGAATAATGACCATTACCCTGGTGTCTTTCTAGAGCTAATGAATTTTAAATACAGTATCTCTAATAACTTTGGATAATTAATACATTATATATAGAGCATGGCATAGTTTTATTACAAGGCAATAAACTACTGGGTGTTCAGACTCATGTGAACAATATTGCCAATACCAGTGCATATTAGTTTGAATGCCATGGATTTACAAGGAGGAAAGCAGACACATTTATACACACTTATGTAACTATGAACATGATAGAAATTTTCCTAGCTTATTTTGGATAAGTTGGACTTCCTATAGTCACAGAGATCTGGTCTCTATCAGACCAAGTCCTCAAAGCTCATTTCCTTTCTTCCCCACTTTGCTGTTGAGAGCAGAGGGAGCATCTCAACCTGAGATATTCTGAGAAATGTATCATCATTTAAAATAATATGTAATTTCAGAGTACTTGAGATTTGAAAAACTAAAAACTTTTAGTGTTAGGGAGGTGACACTTTCTCAGTTAGTGCAGGGCTTGGAAGCCAGAATATCTGCATTTAGTATCTTACCAGGAAATTGAGGTCCTTTTATACTTTAAACAAGTTCCTTCAATCAGTGCTTACAGTCTTAGGCTTTTCAAATGCCAACAGAGATGCTTAGAATGCAAAGAAACACAATATACTCAAAACTTTGAGCCTCTTTAAGATATTATTGGCAGTGAAAGTTAAGTCTTAGACTTTTATAGGACAGACAGACCATCTCTTGCCCTGACATAAGTGTTGGAACTGCCTTCTCCCCTAATCCTCACTGTGTGGCTCACTTCTCTCCTTTTCCCTATTACTTTTTGTTTTATCACTACCACCTCTCCCCAGTGCTCTATGCCTTAAGCTAGGTGCTGGCATCTAGGCTTAGGATTCTGGCAGTTAGCTCAGATTGCAGGGGAGATGCATATGGGTGACCAATTCCATCAGGACCAAAAAGTACAAAGCATTTCCTTTTTCCTTTCTGTATTACCTCTTTTCTTATTACAAAGGGCCCAGATTACTCAGACTGCTTCTCTAAGCCCTTACCAGTCCCTGACCTCCCTCCAGATCAGTGGTTCTCAACCTTCCTAATGCTGCGACCCTTTAATACAGTTCCTCATGTTTGGTGACCCCCAACCATAAAATTATTTTCGTTGCTACTTCATAACTGTAATGTTTCTACTGTTATGAATCATAATGTAAATATCTGATATGCAGGATGTATTTAGGTGACCCCTGGGAAAGGGTCGTTCGACCCCCAAAGGGGTTGCGACCCACAGGTTGAGAACCGCTGCTCCAGATACTATGTTCTTCAAATTACTTCATTCAATTTCTTCAGTACAGCTAGTTTCACTAGGTCTCAGGAACAGAGAAGTCTGATCTCTATTTAGACTCACTCATGCTAAGATCCAAATAGAGACCTCTCCCTAGAGATTCTGGTTTTATTTGTTTGTGTTTTTTTTTTAATATATTTTATTGATTTTTTACAGAGAGGAAGGGAGAGGGATAGAGAGTTAGAAATATCGATGAGAGAGAAACATCGATCAGCTGCCTCTTGCACACCCCCTCCTGGGGATGTGCCTGCAACCAAGGTACATGCCCTTGACTGGAATTGAACCTGGGACCCTTCAGTCCGCAGGCTGACGGCTCTATCCACTGAGCCAAACCGGTTAGGGCGAGATTCTGGGTTTTAAAGAAGTTTGTCAGCCTTAAATGAAGTAGGCTGATAAAAGTGAGACATATTAGTTTAAAGTAGTGGTTCTCGAAGTGTGGTCCAGGAACCCCTGAAGGATCCCTGAAACCTTTTCATCAAAGGGTCAGCGAGGTCAAAACTATTTTTATAATACTAAGGTACCCTTGCCCTTCTCACTCTTTTTTCCCCATAATCAAAACTTCATTGAAAAATTGACACCAAAATAGATCACTGTTGTATACTTCCAAAATTAAATGTAATTACATTATCCTGGTAGATTAACTAGAATTACTAAACTGATAAGGCTTTTTGTGATATAATCCAAATTCAGGAAGCTGTGTGGATCATTAGTGTTGCTTTCTTCTAAATGAACACCCTTCGGTGAGTCTAGCCTTTCCTCCTGTCGGCTGGCACAGCACTGTTGAACAAACTACGCAAAGAACCACCATCTGAGCGCGGCTGAAAACCGTGGTGATCTTGTAGCAACCTGGACATTTTACATCCATAAAATAAGAATTTGGACTTTGAACTAGCCGTTTCTTTTTATGTTTTTTCTTTTCCTCTTCCAAAGGACGCGTGTAGTAAATCTCTAGCCAAAAGCATGTTGATCCTCTCGCAGGCGCAGCCCGTCCCGATCTCCCGCCCTTCTCACTGTCACTCTTATTCTTTAACGATGTATAGTGGAGTTTCCTGGAGGCTACATGACATGTGCTATCGCAACAGATTGAATAAAGCAGGAGAAATGAGAATCCTATTCTCTTATATTTAGCCAGACATTAACAAGAGTTGCAAGAATATAGGACAATACCACTCCTTGATAATTTATTTTTGTTTTGGAAAAATATAGTTATTTTTCATAAAGTACATTATGTTAACATAGATTTATTATTTTAAAACTGAATCAATGAATATATTCATTTAAAATTATTCAATTTTAATTTTTGATATGCTAAATATTAATAGATATAACACACATAAACAAAATTTTGGGGAGTTCCTATAATTTTTAAGTGTGTAATAGGATCCTGGGACAAAAAATTTTGAGAAGCACTGTTTTTGGAGGAAAGAAGACTTTTCCTGTGTCAGGCCTATTCTGGGCTGCCATCATGCACTCTTGCCAAAACCTAGGCTTAGTATGTAGGCAATTTAGCATCCTACTTCTGATAAATGGCCTATCTCTGCCTTAGGCCATCCAGTGGTTTCCACAGAACGGCTGGTAATTCCTCTCCACTCCCACGGCCTCCACAGTTACATTGGAGGTTACCTTAGAGAGCAATGGTTCTCCATTTGGGGTCATTTTGTCCTCCAGGGGATATTTGGCAAAGTCTGGAGTCATTTTTCATTGTCACAACTGGGTGCGGGGGGGATACTATGGGCATTTAGAGGGTAGAGGCCAAAAATGATGCTAAACACTCTATTGTATACTGGACAGCCCCTCACAACAGAGCTCCAAATGTCAATTGTGCTGAAGTTGAGGAACCCTGCCTTACAGCATCCAGACCTCATTTGATGTTCCAGGACTTTAGATAAATCTGACAAATGATATACTCTAGAAGTTTAGTCTTTGACTGGAAAAAAAAAATCACAGGGCTTATGAAATCTGGCAGGGAGCCAATGTGCATTTGGGAGCTTCCAAATAAAAATGAAGGAGAAAAACAAACATTTCAAGCAGCAGCACAGCCAAGGAGCATAAAGCTGTAATCAGAAATCACAGATAATACCACTTAACAAGGTTAGGATAGCTGCCAAGAAAAGAAGGTACTGTAAAGGCCAAATCTCCTAGAACAGTATGTCTCTGTGGGGTGGAATACATTCCCAAGATGGCAGAGAAAAACTGCCATAATTTTCTCTCTTACTGTACCTCACTGGATGTACTGCCTAGCCCAACGAAAATCAACCAAATCTATTGACACCTTCCCCCAGCACACACACATGCACATAATTTGATATTTTAAAGGATGTGGAATTAGGTGGGCATTCGGTCATTTTAAATGTTACTTTCTTCATGAAGCCATTTTAACTCTCCACCCCAATATTTTCTCTTTCCTCTTTCATCTCCTACCTTGCTTGTTATTTATGCCCATGTCTTGTAACTCCCACTACACTTTTTACTTCTCAAGAGCAGGAACCATGGCTTATGTATTTTTATCCCCACTTAGAATAACAGTTCTCTCCATAAATATTTATTGAATAGATAACTCTCTTTTAGCATTTTGTTTTTCAGCTTAGTACTTCACATAATTAT